AAGTGTCCCATTGGCCGCATAAGGGTGAAGTGCAGACTGTAAACGGACTCAACGGACGGATAGGCAATTCGGCATTTGACAGCATTTGATAACTCACAAACATTTGAACAGTTGGCTCCAACATGTGGAGAGATGTTGCAATTAACGCAGCATAGAAACAAAAAAGCAATTTATATGACCCCATCAAGATGTCAGCTTTGTTTGATGCAACCTCAACCAGCTCCATTTATCTCGGGATCCCATATATCCGAATACCACAGATCCTTCTAGCAGCTGTACGGATAGGCTCAATGCAAAGATGGGACAGTAATTGATCAAGGAATCTCGAAGCTCCAATTATTCGTTCGAAGCACAGATAGCCTAAAAAAGAAAAAGCAAAAATAGGAAAACACTGGAGCTATCAAACACCAGGATAGTGGCGTTTCATGTGATATATCGAATTCTTTGTTCACAAGGACAAGGCTGTGAGTGAGAGAAGAGGCAAAAAGGCAACAGCTATAACCTGAAACCCAACCAGAATAAGAAAAATAATCAGACGATCTGTCTATTTATTCGGGCAGACCGTTTGTTAAATGACAGTAGGAGTTGGCCGAAGGAAACAAGGTCCTTGCTGCTCCCGCGTTTCAGGGGCCGGTCTTTTCGGAGCGGTAGGGCCCGATATGGGATATCGCTTGATGATGAGGATGGGAATAGACGTCAGAGGTTGAATGTAGAACAAACGGAGGCCGAAGAATCGCGAAATGCGTTCGTATCACACCTCATTTAACGATTTATTGGCAATATACAGAATCGAACGATAACCAATATCAAGATAGAATAGTATGCCCCGGCTTTTGATTGCTCAGTCAATAGTCTTGGCCTGCATGAGTCGCTAGCTGCGGGTTTACAGCATGGGGTGGCTGAAAGTGGCATATTGGTGGACGAACTGTTGTCCACCATATCAGGTCTAGCAAAAAGAACGAAGGAAGGGCATCACGTAGTCTTGGCCAAGGTAGAGAACGAATGGACGGACTGTGAATCTTTGTAGACGAACCACGAGGGAGGCTGGGATACAAGACCCTGGCACTCTGCCTTACCGTTACCAGCATCATGACAGGCGACAGGCTAATTGATAACTGTGCTATGCTGGGAGGCTGATGATTACGTTTGGTCATGAAATGAAACATGAAGCCCATTGCATTGTGATAAATCACGATGGACAAGACCGCCTCCACCGCTAGGGAAATTTCCGGTATGACGCCGGCAATGTTGTGAGAAGTCAGAAAAACGAGTCATGTTGTACTGCAAGCCCAGGGGCAAAAAAGCTTGGGATACGAAGAAGAATCTCACGATAGCTTAGCTTTCAGTGGCAGAGAAAGAAAAAAAAAGGGAGAAGCTCCTGGTAAAGCCTCCGTCGTTAATTTAGCGCTGGTGTTGGTTGTGTTTCTAGCGGGCAATAAACCGGCCAAGATTCCAGTCTCTGATAGACAATGGGGTCTTGTTGGTCTTGTTTCCTTGAGGTTTGTCCACTGTTTTTGTTACATCGAATAGAGACGGCGGCGTAGGTGCGTCACCCGACGAGATTCGGCTGATTGACACCAAGGATTGAGAAAATCCCTTGGCTCAGCTAAGCTAGGCCACGTACAATTAATTGCTGGCGATTGATTATGCTCAACTTTGAGCTGAGCAAGACGAGGATTTTCATTAGTAGACTGCAGCCGCCATCTCCGCTGACGTGGAACCGAGAAGCATGGACCTAGACGAGGTAGTATCGTGCAAAGAGATCTACAGTTGAAATATATTGTTATGGAGATATCAAAGGGATGATATAAACAAGAAAACCCCGAAAAATTCCATAAAGATATTCTATCGTAAACGTGAAAAGGGGAGGCTATGAGGCTCCGGATGACATTCCCGTACCGCACTATGTGAAGCACGGCGCGCCGATGTGTCTTTGTATTTCGGGAGCCGAACTCAAGGCAAACATGTGGAAGCATGAGCCAAGAGCTAGAACAGCTAGGAGGATAAATATGGTAGCTATTTACTCTATATGGAATGCGTTTGGAACATTCGTGAAACCAAACCGTCAAAGGTGCACGGCCTGAATCATCTGATAACGTTCAATATCACAAGGTTTGAAGATGGACATCATCTGGTGGTGAGCTGGAACCCGAACGTGTGGATTAACAATTACTCAATCATAATATCCTTACAGCCCAGCCGAGATTGACAGCTGCGTTGATCAACCCCCGAAGAGGGAGATCTGGGGGACCTCGTGATAGCTGGGCCAAGCAAGGCCTCCATCCATAACAAGAGCACGCAAGCATCTCGTCAAGCAAATATCCACCAGTCAGTGCCACGGACCTCGCTAGTGAATTCAATCACATCCCTCCCTGGGTGCTCCGTCATAGGTACGGATAGGTAGTCATAGTTAGTCATATGCATGCCATCCCTTCCATCGCTTCCGCTCCCACCACCAACCGAACGCTTCAGGTTGAACACACAAGCACAGGGGGAGCTCGGAGCTCACAAGCAGAAAAACTTTACCTTATGGGATGGTCTTCGGCTTTGAGTTAACATGTGAATCAAGCTTCTGAACTCAATTATACCCGCAGAAAGTTAATTCCCTTGTTCTTCCAGGCTTCCTTTTCTAGTTGATGAGGACTTCTGCAAGGATCTAATGTTAAACAAGGGGCGATGAACGACAAGAGGAAGGAGATCGTCGCCGGATCTGAAAAGAAGCAAAGTTGGACTGCCACGATTGGATTGGCTAGATCCCCTTGATTAACCAGTCTTGGTATGGGATGAGTTCTTGTGCTGCTTCTGGCTTCTTGTTCCTGGATCCTTTTTCCTTCTCTTGTCTTCTGCTTCTTGCTTCCTTTCCGCCATGCACCGCCACTTCATCAAAGCTCAAGCTTCAATAACTGATGAACCTTGACCGTTGGACGGCCTGCGCTCAGACAATGCGCTGCAGTAGCTGAATGAAGCAGGACTTGTCCGTCCAATAGAACAACACGAGCCCTGGTTATTACAGCGGACTTTAAGACATCTTCAGCGGCCTCAACAGTCTTCAGCGCCCTGCTTGTTCAGCGTAGAGGGAGCAGCGCGGAGCAGATCCTCTACTGCAGGGGTCCATTTCTTTTTTTTCCCTCTCCCATTCTTCCTAGAAGCCAGGGCATGGCTAGCTTGGCTAACTTACCACGGTCTGGATAGCGTGCCCGATGGACCCGCGCTGGCCTCACCCCGTCTCTGGAGCCTGGAGCTGGTGTTCTCTCTCACGGGGGGACCCCTGGACATGAAAGGGAGGGGAGCGTTTGGCTCACCACCGTCACCACCATTCGGCACAATCTAGCAGTCCAAACTGTAAATCCTTGTCCATTTTCTGTTTGAATGTAGAAGGGAAAAATGAGATGAGATGATGTTGGTTGAGTCGAGTTGGATCACAGATGAAAACGGCAGCACGAATTGCCGGCGGTAATTGTAGCCAAGACTTACCACTCTGTGCCACTCTGTGGGTTGCAAATAACCAATTCAGGCCTTTACTGGGGAACCTGATTGGACGAGGGTAGTTAAGGGGATCGGAAAGATCGAACAGCAATGGAAGGCTTCTCTGCAAGGCACAGATGGTGATAATAACAAGGACCCTTACGGTATACGTGCCGCGCTATAGGGGAGCCAGAGGCAAATTGCCATTCGTAAAATCGAGCCTCCAGCAGCGACTGACCTCAGACTCTCAGCTCCATACAACACCGCTAGTCATTCTTTGGAAAGACGTGCCCAATCCCGTGAGCCCTTGGGGGAAAAGCCATGACTCTCTTTTGGCTTTTTGACTTTGTATTGAGCAAATGATGGCGGGGTCTTAGCCGGGTTTGGCTCTAGCTGGCCACTATTTGCAGGTGGTGTTTATGCTTTAGCTGACACTTAACTTCTCTGAATGGGTGAGTTGGGCGGAGAAGGAATACACATTTGAGGGTGATTTGCATTTTTGTTTGTACGTATTCGCGCCACCAGACGCTGTAGTCATAGAATACGATAATACCTGACAAGCCCATTCTGTTGATTGCTCTTTTGCTCTGATCCTCTTGTGATACTAATTATTGTTATTGCGATTCTCTCGTGCCAAGTCAACCCCTGTTGTCGACGCACTCCTCAGTTCATGCTCTCCTCTCTCTTCCACCTGAGAAGAAGGGCAAGACGGACAGTGGAGGCACAGTCAAGTCGCTTAGATCTCTCTCATTTGCCCTCTCGCGTGCTGGTGGAGAGTCTTTCTAGGTTGTGATCGCTCGCTCGGGCGGGATTTAAGCAGATTGCGACCGGGGATTGAATTGAAGGCAGAGAAAGAGGGAGAGAGCAAGTCTTCAGGCTCCTCTTGATCATCATCTCACACCCTCTCCCTCTTAGCGCACGCCTCCTCAACTGTTACACCCCCGTAACTAACTAATACCCATGTCAAGCCAGATCCAAGTCTGCTGAACCCACCTGGACTTTCACCGTCCCTATTCATCTCGACATCTGCTTCTTATTCCTCTGAACCCCCCTCCAACTCTTCCCCCCTCCTATACTTGTTATTCAATATCGTTAATGGTCGTTCGTTCCATCTAGCGGGAACTCTGTGAGGGGAAGATACGCAGCAAAGCGAGATTGATATCGCACGGCAGATCGAATATACCATAACGAATCCCTGGCTCGATATGGCACGCCAATAAGACTAGTCTGGAAAACACCAAAGGACGAGGCGACTTCTTAATATTATTTAGCAGCGTCCCATCGGCAAATCGCTTGCGATCGACGACTAATATTTTCCGGGATTGCCATCTACCGCGATAATATTTAGAACCCACGAAGCGCCTCCTTGGCAGCAGATTATCAAACTCCCAGTTATCTCTCCAACGACACCGCTCTTCTCCCACATGTTGGGCGAAAGACAGTTGACCTTGTGCTGACGAGAGACTCCCCACGGGGGGATAATATTCAATCTGGCGACGGAAGACAGGATTTAACCGAGAGACGTCGCCGGAATCATGGGCAAGTTTGCATTCCCAGGCCGCAAGAAGCAGCCTCCAAAGGTGACCGTCACCGCACCGCCCATGAGCAAAGCTCAAAAGATTCTCGGATCGACAGCTCTTAACATCGACGCTCCTCAGCAATGGGACAACTTCTCCAGCTCAAAGGTCAACCTGGCGGCACCTGGCGGTCCTGAGACATCCCAGACGCAGCTAAGCCACAGCCATGGCCATGGCTCTCCTGTGAGACATGATCGTGGAATGCGGGAATGGGGAGATGAGTCGGAGATCGTGCCGCGCCAATTCAGAGTCAATGGAGCGCCTACTGATGAGTACGACGAGGATATGTCTGACATGACAAGCATTCTCCGGAAACGACAGTCTTCTTCGACGCTTCATTCTTGGTATGACAAGACTAAGCAACCCCTCGCCATATCCCAGCAGACGTCGGCTTCGGCCATGGCGAAAGGACTACCGTCGAAAGCGGAAAGAATGCTGGATATGGAGAACTCCATTGCGGAGGCTAAGCTAAGGAAAAAGAAGCCTGCAAAACTGGATTTGTCCCATCTCATGGGGCGATCTCGAGGCAAGAAGACCGAGCCTCAATGGCAGGGTCCGATGCTGGGCCAAGTTGTTCGATCACCGTCTATCCTGTCGCCAACAAGCACACCATCTCTACGAGGCAAGCTTTCAAGGCGGCCTACGAAGGAGAGTCTGAGGTCAATGAACTCGGAAGATGCCAATCGACCAAAGACGGGCGAGAGCAACAACCGCAGACCACACAACCACCTAAACGGGCTACCTAACCTCTACGAGCATTACGAGCAAATGTCTTTCCGCTCAATCGCTGACGATGAGTTGGATCTGCCGGATCCGGTCGAAAAGACCGTGAAGAAGTCTAAATCCAAAGACTTGCTTCAACTCAAACCCACTGTTTCTCATCAAAGCAAGCATGAGCATCGACCCATACCACCGGCTCATGACGAGCAAATCATTTCACAATACGCTAAACGCAATTTACCTCAAACACCCCAAGCTATCCTGGCCAGCAAACCTGGTCAATCTTCACCTACAGACTGCGCTGCTAGTGTTTCTAGTAGACACACCAGGACGTCTAAGGCTTCGAAGCGCACCAGTAGGAGTTTCCAAGAGTCGGATCTTCAGGAAAAGAGTGTTCTATCGCTCTCTTCGGACTCCGAAGATGATGTTTACATTGACTCATCTTCAAAGGGCCCTGCATCGATTCCAGAGTATGCCACATCGGAAGCTGGATCTTCTATCGACTTTCGCCCAAGCACCGCTCGAACGAGCTCGAGTGCCGATAACAGCTCAAAGCGACTCAGCAGATCGAGCAAGCGAACATCAAGCTCCAACAATTATCTGACTATCCCCAATGGCCACCATCGAAATCCTATCGTGGCTCCGCGAACCAGTTCCCTTTCTGGAAGCTCGACGAACACGATTCAGGAGGGTACCGCTGGGCAATCACCATCACAAAGCATATCCAGCTCATCAGCAAACACGTCGAATACATGGCAAAGCAAGCCAAGTCTCAACTCTCAAGAAGCAAAGGTTATCGCCTTGTATCCCGACCAGGGACGTTCAGATTCTACTGATTCCGAGCAAGACAAGGAAGCGGATTCTGAGAACGATCCTGAACCAGAGCTCGACTTCCTTCCTGCGATGAGATACGTTCCCCACGAATCTATCTCTACCAACGCCGATGCGCCCACGCCCCCTCTGAGCCCAAGCTCCGTCGACTTCTACATACGCTCTGCACACTCTTCCATCGATGGCAAGGGAAGCCATAACCGCTTCATGGCTGTTACACGCCAGGAGGAGATGCTTCTGGCCGCCCTCCGCCACAAGCGACAGATCATGCGCGGCTCTATCCTCTCTGAGATGGAAGAGAACAGCCGAAGCGAGAAAGCCAATCATAAGGGTCACCAGTCGAAGCCCTCCGAGGCCACCATCACCGAAGAGACCTTCGATCTTGACCTGGATTTCCCAGCTCCTCCTACCTTCAAGGATAAGACAACTGTTGCTGCTGATGGCACTACCGTTATCGACCTGAGTCACCAAAATTGGTCTGGCAAATCTGAAGCAACCACTTCTACACATCACTCTAATGAAAAGGTTCATGAGCCTAAACCTCATAACAATGATCACCACCAGCGCGAGCGTATTCTTCTTTATATCGATAAGGGTCTTGCGGCAGAGCACTCCATCGAGGATGCTGAGCCCAGCCCTGATCTGAGCGACTTCTACGACTACGAGTTCGAAGACGAATCTGAGGGTTCAGAGGTTGTCCCTGAGGGTGTCATGTACACCCAGCAGCGTCGCCACAGCGATCGAAAGGAGCGTCAGTCAGTTGTGAAGCGCCAAACGAGCCGATCGCGTCAACGAAGCCCTCAACCTCATAGCGAGAATCTCGAGGTTGGCGTTCCTCGACCTGACAGCCCCATCTCTCCTGATGCTCTTTCGACTGCGGCTCCTCGAGTCAACAAGAAGATGGCTCGTCTGAGTGCTGTTGGACCCCCTGCGAAATGGGGGTTTGAGGACTAGACATCATAACATATCATCTGCGATTTACGATACGTTTCACCAACGTTCACTTTTCATTTATACATGTTTCAAAACAGCATTATGGGGATTGGAGTATTTTATTTCTTGGATACCTCGGTCACTTTGATGATCACGCACATCAAACATTTTCCTTTGTCGGCGATGATTACCTGCGATTTACTCTTTTATCTTTCTTGGAGTACATCAGCTAAAGCGGCGTACTGGGATATATAAGGCCCCTTTGTCATGAAAGTGGAACGGAGAAATTTCCCTAAACGACTATGCCCGACCCTCTTAGGATATCTCGAAACGTCTAGCCTTATACCATCTCTACGAAAATCGACTTTGCTTTGAGTCATCGGGTCTGGGATTGGTTCTGAGGACAGGCGCAAGAGCGGGTAGCAATTTGTTCTTTGACGAACGTGACGAAAAGCCAATAGGAATTGGTGGATACTGGGACTGTAATGTGATGAAGACGGAAGGGAAGGGAGAGGCACTCTGCAGCTTTGTATATCATATTGTAGTTCGCGATTGATATAATCGCATATATTCTCGAACAATAGCGGAGTATGGCCTGTTGGCTTCTTTCTTACTCCATCTTAAAAGACTTTGTTGATCTTTAAGTTCGATTCATTGATTCATCGTATAGGGTTTATCTTGACATAACGGCGTGTAGAGGTGTTCGTGACTTAGAAGTAGGTAGAGCCCTCAGGGGGCTGGGCGATCTTCTTGTTCTGGGACGAGGCCATGTATCTGCAGGATGTTAATACAATGTCGTTTTTCTTGCTTGAATATGAGGCTGGTATACCGTCGCAACTCTATGAGCACAGTCTCCATGGTGTTCTCACGCTTCCACTGGGCGAGGCAGGGCAGTTGGTTGGGGTCGACGATGCCGTTGGTGGGGTTGACACAGGGCAAGTTGACCTGGCTGATGAACTGGATCGAAGGAGGCTTGTCAGGGTACTCGGGACCGCAGTGCATCTTAACACTGTAGATACGGTTCTCGTGGACGGACTGAACCAGGGTAGGTTAGCGATGATCTTCGCGAATCTACAGTAATTTCGATTACTTCAATATGCTAGAGCGGGTCACATACATGAGGAGGTCCAAGAATTGTGCCGTTCCATTTGCTCATGAGAAGATCCTCAGGGTCCTCCAGTCCGTAACTGCAGGCCTCAGCGCCGAGACCCTTCTCTCCCTTCTCGAGCTCCTCCAGTAGGCGAAAGTTGCGAGGAACCTTGGCAGACATTGTGTTCGGTTACTCAAAGGAAACTTGGTTGGGTAGCGGATTATTGTTGGTCAAATACTGTGGGATTTTAGGTATCGGAGGCCAAAAATCGTGGAGGAGTAAGAAACGAAGTTTCGCGATAGATGACGTTGGTGTAGCGGCGGTTGATATTGGGTGACTCTGGTTTGGTTTGGTTTGGCGGGATCCAGTCACAGTCGCGGGGCAGACAAGCAGAAAGGAAGGCGGTGAATTGTCCTGATAAGTAATAGCAAGCAAGAGTACCCCGCCAACACCTCTTTCGATACTGAAGCACAGCCACAGAAAGCCGAGGCAAATAGCTTGTCACTAGCCACCCGCGTCACATCAAGCTTGCCTGGTCGAGCGGGCAAACGTCGGAATATTCAAAGGAAGCTCTGAGCTCACCCGACCACAGACAAGAGTGTTTTTCCCACTGGCCCGGAGGAGAGGACGTCATTCTGGAATCGTGACCTTCAACAGACTCGAACTCTCTATATCATGGCCATGTCCCTTGCGCGGACAGCTCTCAGGGCGCCGCAATCGCGTCTCATCACAGCTGCTGCCGCCATCACAGCTCGATCTATCACCGCGCATCGGTCCTTCAGCACCACCAACCATGCTCTGCTCCCCTCCGGCTTCGGATCTCCCGTTCTGCCTTCATACTTCTCGAAGCCCCGGCTGCCGGCCAATACGGTGGTCCGCTTTGTGCCTCAGCAGACGGCTTGGATCGTTGAGCGCATGGGAAAGTTTAACCGTATTCTTGACCCCGGTCTGGCTATCCTCGTGCCATTTATCGATCGAATCGCATACGTCAAAAGCCTCAAGGAAGTCGCCATTGAGATACCCAGCCAAAGCGCCATCACTGCGGACAACGTTACTCTAGAGCTTGACGGTGTTTTGTTCACCCGTGTCTTCGATGCGTATAAGGCAAGGTGAGTTATCCAACTCTAAAGAGCAATTGAGTACGTGATGGACATTTGACTGACCCAAAACTTGTGTTTCAATAGCTATGGAGTTGAAGATGCCGAATATGCCATCTCTCAGCTTGCCCAGACGACCATGCGATCCGAGATCGGTCAATTGACTCTCGACCACGTTCTCAAGGAGCGTGCTGCCCTCAACACCAACATCACCGCTGCTATCAACGACGCCGCCGAGGCATGGGGTGTGACCTGCTTGCGTTACGAGATTCGAGATATCCATGCTCCTGGCGCCGTCGTCGAGGCCATGCACCGACAGGTCACTGCCGAGCGTTCCAAGCGTGCTGAGATTCTCGAGTCCGAGGGTCAGCGACAAAGCGCCATCAACATCGCTGAGGGTAAGAAGCAGAGTGTCATTCTTGCTTCCGAAGCTTTGCGCGCCGAGCGAATCAACGAAGCCGATGGTGAAGCCGAAGCCATTCGCCTCAAGGCTACTGCCACTGCCCAAGGTATCGATGCTGTCTCTGAGAGTATCCTGAAGGGTGATGCTGGTGCCCAGGCTGCCGTCAGCTTGAGAGTTGCTGAGAAGTACGTCGATGCCTTTGGAAAGCTGGCTCGCGAAAGCACAGCTGTCGTTGTTCCCGGCAATGTTGGAGATATCAGCGGCATGATTGCCACTGGACTGAGTGTTTTCGGCAAGGTTGGCCAGGCCCAGGCACAAACTATGGCCAAGTCTCTTGTCGAGCCCAAGAAGGAAGGCTTGGAGGCTGGAACTGATACACCCTCAGAGCTTGATGGCCAGGCGAAGCCCGGCGTCAAGGAGACAGTGATTGAGAGCTTCAACCAGGCTGCTAAGCGATAGGGATAAAATCCTAAAATAGCCCATGGCATATTACGGACGGAACGAGATGAAATCAACCTTGTATCAGCTCATCACTCAACCATCACATGAACATTCCACACTACCATGATTATCGGCGTTTAGCGGATGTATTATAGGGATCTCAGGAGGATCCGAGACGGCCTTGCTCACAGAGCTGGGGGATAACGGAGAGAAACGTCATCATGTAACATCAAATTTTCTTTATTCACAATTTAAGCGCATGGCAAAAGGAGGGAAAATCACGGCTCACCAGTCTACCCACTTCTTCAAGCATATAAATAGCCTACTGTCGAAGTAGGGGGACACAGAATCGAACTATTTTGACTTTTACTATGTATGTCCTCCCGGTGAACTGGCATTCTGAGAGTTCCGGGTTGCGTCTGTTGTTTTAAGAGCAGTGAAGTAATTAAGGCGGGTATTACAAGGACGAAGCTTGGCTCATTGATTGATTCAGGGGGTATATTGAGTCGAAACTAAGGTATGTACCAAGAATATTTCCAACACCAAGCCAACATTGTTCATTATTTCCAGCTCCTGCATTGCTCCAAAGACTCCAGGCCATAATACCTGCTCAGCTTGCCTGTGTCGCTAAGGTAACTGTACAATCTTGACGACCGCCTCGAGTTGCTAAAGTCACGGCTTAAAGGAAAAGAGGAACCATAGCAACGAGGCCCATGAAGAAGCTAGGCACCAAGATAGAGCCACTATTGCTTCCTCCATTGTCGCTGCTGCTGCTACTGCTGCCGCTGTCTCCATCATCGTCGCCACCAGATCTGAGACCGGTAGGTTCAGCAGACGAAGAGAATGTAGAGAACTTGTTGTCGTCGATCGTGGGGACAGGCTCGATCGAAGGGGCCGTGAATGAGGGAGAGTCGAAGGTAAGTGTCGGGGACTCTCGAGTGAAGCTGGACTTGTCATCGTCGTCGTCGTCGGAGCCGCCACTTGAGCCACCACCACTGCTACCTCCGCTTGAGCGATAGCCGCAAGTACCGTCGCTTCTACAGATTTGCCCAGACAGACAGTATCCGGTATCACAGCAGACCATTCCCTTGGGCATGCAGCCATCGCCACACTTCTCTTGGTAAGTCGCGCAGCTACCACCAGACGAGCCGCCGGATGAGCCGCCAGACGAACCTCCTGAACTGCCACCAGAGCCGGAGCCATACTTGCAAGTTCCACCGGAGCCGCAGGTCTGGCCACGGAGACAGTAGCCAGTATCGCAACAAACCATGCCCTTGGGCATGCAACCGTCACCACAGGTCTCCTGGAAGCTCAAGCATGAGCCCCCTGAAGAACCACCGGAGGAGCCACCAGAAGAGCCACCACTTCCGCCACTGACACACTCGCCCTTAGTAACGCAATACGCGCCGCAGAGCTCCTTGCCCGGTGTGCAGCCAGTGGGAGGGCCAGAGCATAGCTTGCCATCCTCACAGCAGCCTTCAGCTTGACAATGATAGCCATCGTCACAGTAGGCTCCTGTTCCCTTGTTACAGCACTGAGCGCCTGCATCCATGCAGCCGCTATCGCATGATGTCTTGCCAGCGGGGCAAGAACCAGCCATGCTGAGGGTCTGAGGGCGAGGAGTGAAGCCAGAGAGAAGGGGAAGACCTTTTGGCTGTGCTGCTTTGGAGTTGCTGAAGTGGACGCTATCAGCCGCGAAGGTCAAGCCCGCGAGGGCGAGGAGAAGAGTTGATCGCAACATATTTTAAAGACTGTATAAGAGGGCTTGATCCACCTAAAACGATTGGGTTGAGAGAATTCTGGCGGGCGAAGCAGACAGGTCAAACTGAGCAGGAGATTTTCTCTTCTTATAAGAAGAGTACTGGTATCAACAGGCTGCTACCTACGGGAACGGCTGAAAGCCAGCCGTCGAGTCACAGGCCAGTTAGAATCAACTAGCTGGGTATGTTAATATGCTAATGCATCAAATGTACGCCACCAAATGTCTCCAGGGTCAAAGGTGGAAGCTCCATCTTGACGATGGCTTCGTGCGGGTACCATATCCGTCTGTGCTGGAGGCACGACCATCCACCAATACAAATTGCAGCAGGTTGCCACAATACCTCGCCGAAATATAGGCAGCTGTGACTTTTCTGTGATGTGTCTGCCGTCAGTGACTAATACCAGGCTTCTAGGCTATGACCTCGAGTTGAAGATCTACGTCGAGACGAGTTCCCATATTCAGTCAACGTGAGATACCAAAATAGGGCATGAGTGCGAGTGTCAGACCGGCCCAACCACATTCCGAATAAGACTATACTCAAATTCTGCCCGATCATCATGCACCGTCCATGAACCAAAGAATTTAGCAGTGTTGCTCTCTATAAGTTGGTGGAGACTGGGGTTCAGCTGCTTGGGATCCCTGCATCGATCCTAGGTAGCCTGCCCTGGTCTAAGACATGAGCAGACGAGGAGGGAAGTCGGAAGATGATCTTTTTCACAAAGATCGGTCACAAGGCCATGAACCCAGGTCTAGTCTCGTACCTCGCATTTGGCCCATTACACAACTTGCATAGTTGGACTGCAGTGTAACGCTGTTACTGCAAGGCTGGTTGCATGCAGTGGATGAGTTGTAGGTTGAGTCGACCAAACAGATGGAAAAAGGCTGAGGGGTGAAACAGCCGCTGAACAAAGTTAAGATTAGGCTTCTCTCTTGTTTGCCCTGCAAGGCCGGGGGTTCCAAATTTACCGTCCAACGATATTGAGCTGTTGACGCACTAATGCTCTGCCCTATGAGACTCATCTCGTGTCGGCCGCTTGCACTAGAGCAATTATTGTCCCGTCCCATCCAATGTCGCAAGTGACATTCATCGACTCTTCTGCTGTCCCGAATTTAGATCACCCACAGAGTTCACCCTAGTCGGAAAGGGACTGAAGCTCAACGTGCAAGGCTGATTGATCCATCACCCATTCTGTTGGATATCACTTGGCTTGGGTGAAGGCCTCAATAAGTGACAGGTGACTTATGCGAAAATTGCCGCAAAACTTGGGGCTTGTTCCAGGATACAGGGTCATTAATTCTGCAGCTAAAATGTTCCACAGGGCCTAAATGTTTTGAGCATTGAGCGGTGGAGGTGGCGCTGGTGGCACCGATAATATGCTAACCAATTCACGGCTCTTCTCATTGAACAGTTTCACTTTGGGAAGTGGTGTTGATGATCCTTGAATTTCGTAACCTTGCACTATCAATAAGGATTATGCCTCGTCACGCTAATGCTGCCAAAGGAGTAGTGATTCGATAACCTTGTGATGATGGAGAAGTTGGCCTGACGAGAGGGTGTCATAAGGAGCATGGCTTTAGAGAACAATTAGTATTGATGAATATCAGTTGGAAATGTCAGAGGGAGCTGTGAATATGCTATCTTTAGCAACAACCTTTCTCGCATCTTGCCCGTGTGACGAAGATAATCCTCCCTTGAACAGATCCCTCACACTGACACTCGAATATCTTTTTTGATCAAAGTACCAACAATCTCTTCGCATGCAAAGGAAACCTGCAGTTTTTCGTCACGTTTGGCGCCCAAACCGATAATGATCTCTTTCTTGTCAACCACCTTTTTAGCACTTCCTCGCCAGAACCAAACAAGTCGTCCGTCATCCCCTTGGACAAGTAATGTGAGCCAGGGTGTGCGGCCCCTCCAGTGAGGTAACTTTTCATTGTCGAATCCGAGAACAGCTCGAGCAATCCAAAGAGGTTGACTGGGTTTTGTCGTGTCTGTTGCAGGCCGGTTGTCTTCGTGCGGAACAGTTGACTTCGAGCTGGCAATCGCGTCGGGAATGTAAGGACGGATAATCTCAAAGTCGAGTGTGAGACGAGGAAATCCGGCAACTTTATGAAGGATAGTCTGGCCGAAAGGTGGGTTTCGACTAAGAATGCGTTCAATGTTGTAAAATTCAACCGTAGACAACTGCTTTATGTTCTTGATGTTGGCCTTGACAAGCTTTGCCTTTTTCGCTTGGCCGATGCCCTCGATTTGGAGGAGTTGATTGTCGCTTCCCTCCCAAACTCCAGCTTTGACACACCTCAACACTTCGAGAGCTACGTAGACTCCCTTTCCATCGCCTCGTTCCCCAAGGATGTCGACGAGGCACCTCAGTACATGGTCGAGGAGTTTGTACATGCGGGCGAGTTCTTTTGTGAGATCTTTTCGCGAAGGCCCCGATAGTTTGTTGGGCCAACCGGTCTTGAGCAGATCAATCTGAACCAAGAGGTATACTTTGTGCCATGGTTGGGAGATGAATTCCTTGACTTGATAGGGGATGCCGGTGTTGTCGTTGATTGCTCTGAAGAAGGCCGTCTCCTCCTTTTTCATTGGGAACGACTTGAACTCGGTGGCAGAGCATGCATTCCTCAAGATGTCACGAGCATCTGGCTTGCTTTTAATCTGGCGAAGGATCTTGAAGGTCGAGGCGGAAATTTCGTAACGCAGTTGGATTTCGTGTGAATTTTCCGAAGCCAGAGTTTGTGGGCTAGATGCCGCCTTCTGTGCTTCTGCCATGATGGACAGAACTCAAGTTAGTTTGTTTCTCGAGCTTTTCCGTTCTTTTCAAATGAAACGGCGGAAATAAATCAAGGATCTTGAAAGAGACGGGACTTTCCATCTGGCCATTCGAGGGCACCTCCTGCTTGCTTTGGGTTATCCATCGTTGAAGAGTGTGGAAACTGCACCTTCCTCCCCTGAAGATCAAAGGTCAGTCAAAAACGACAAGTAAGGTAGGTGCTTGGCACGCGTATCTAATAGCTAAGTTAGTACTTACTTCATAGAATAATTTTCGGAAGTGCGGAAGTCGTGACTGAGAAAGCAAGATGATCACGGCTTGGTGAGAAGAATATTGGCTCTTGAGTGTCGATACATCTATCGATGCTATTTTAGCCAGAATGAACGATAAACAAAGTGGTCAAGAGCGAAATGAGAGAAGATGGAAGAGAGGACACTTGATAGAATTTATCTTCTATCAATATATGTGCTCTCAGGTGAATTATGATCAGAAATGACAGGACTTTGATCTTGTTGTCTGGCCATTCAATATTCCTAAGTGACAAGATTCTCTCTGATGGTATATTTATACCAAGAATACCGAAAGACTCGACAATTTTTCAGTAGTTACTAGGTCAATACAATATAATCGAGTTAAAAAAGGGTTCTTGTCAATGAACATGACTTTATGTCCGGAAACGCCTTTTGCTGGTGACCGAATTCCGTCTCGGTGGGGACCTCAACTCAGCTGAAAGTTGGTGAGGGGTCGTTTGTCGGCGAAGGCTCATCTTCATTACAAGTAGCTCTACAAATATATTAGTTACAACACAACACATTCCACTCTGTTTTGCTTCAAATCTCCCATCGAAAATAGACAAAAATAGACAACAGAGCAATAATGTTATCTTGCAAGCTCTAACTTCCACTGCAAACCATCATAATGTCATCTCGCCCGCAGTTCTTTCATCTTCCCAACTCTGCATCGTGTCGTATACTTGACCGCTTCAGCGACCTTCCCGACGATGCGGAAGTCGAAGAAGATGAGAATGGCAAAATACCATCTTGGCCGCTGTTGAAACACCTTCTCTGTACGCCTGTGTCGAGCATCGCGCATCTGGTTGATCGGTTACAAACAATCGCCGCCAACGCAGAGACATGTCATGATAGTGACTATGGCTTTCTGAAAAGATTTCTTGAACAGCGAGGCGAAGCTTGTCTACTTGCCGCGATATGGCCAAAGATCCGCGATATTGCACTCGCGTTACCGGCCTACTTTCCTGATGGAAAGCTTGAGCTACTTCAGCCGGGACATCCACTTCATCTAAGCCGTGGGCAAGTTGCTTGTCTTGTGGTACATCAATTCCTCTGCTCATTCTCACCTCAAAGGACTGACGACGGATATCAAGATCTGGGCATATGGTTCTCATCCGAGCAACGGCACCCTACCGCAGTACAGATGTACTTGGAGGCTTTGTTTACATACTTTGAGAGTACACCTGAAGCCAGCACTCTTTTGGAAGACCATCAAGTTGCATCCAAACGGGGTCACGGTTCTGTCTCATACGAACTTCATCTAGGAAAGCCAGCCTCACTAGAAGCTGCCAAGTTAGCAAAGCTACAAGTGCACTTCTTGGACACTCATACATCAAATACACATAATCCAGAAGTTCAAGGTGAAGGAGGAGGAGCTGTCGTATCATCCAACAAGGTCATCGGGTTTGGTCAATCCGCCACACAAGAAGAAATCTTTGTCGGGGTTGCTCCTGAAGCTTATCCCGTGGTCCTGGTTGCGCCTCATCTCGCAGACGACACTGTCATCACTGTTTCTGGAGCGAGAGCGATGGTTGACATGAAAGGCCAAAGGCGTAATATTGAATGGACGATACGTCCCACGCCGCCATCCGAAGACTTCGCAGGTTGGAAGAAATTATGGAGGGGAGGACGTCTTGTCTTCATGGACGCTTTGGAGATGGACATGCTCGACCATTCGGAGAACGATGGGTTACCCGACTTATCTCATGGGAACATTGATCGCGAAATCAACAAAGTAGCAAATGGGTTTTCATCCTACAAAGGAAATTCCGTCTTCACTGGGCTCTGGGGCTGTGGCGCCTTCGGAGGTGACCCAGGGGTGAAACTCCTGATACTATGGCTCGCAGCGGGGGTAGCCGATGTTGAGCTGAATCTAATGCTTGGACCTGGAGAACATGATCTCGGAAGGAAA